ATCAGATTTTAACGTCAACAACAGCTCCAGCCCATTTCAACTAACTGCTTCTCTTTTCCCCAGAAGGACAGTTATTACCATCTTTAATACCATCTAAAAGACTTTCAAACAGAGGCTTTTTGTCTAAAGACTCTCTTCAGCTAAAGGGCAAGGAAACAAGGGATGTTGTTAAAATAAAAGTCACACTTAATAGTTGACATTTCAGATGTCTTAACTCTTTTCCTTTATATCTTTAATAAAAGGTTAGAAAGAATATGGCATGGTGTTTGCATGGTACTAAGCAGGCTACAGTCTCTGAATTCCAAACCCCCAACCTTATTTAACACTCTTTAATATTGGGGCATGACAGTGTCATGTTAATGCCTTTGTCTCTCTGGGCCCATGTAGTCTATATGAATTAATACAATATTGTCCAAGCTCAACCAGCATCGCAGTGGCAGAATGAGGAATAGAGTCCAGGTCTCCTCACTCTCACAACATGATGTTGCCTCCCAAGTAGTCCTGGGGAGTAATAAGGAAATCCCTTATTAAGGTCAGCTGAGAGCCCTCAAAAGCGATGGGACAATGTTGGGTCCCTACAAAACTGGGCCTGAACTGGGAAGGGAGATTCCCAAGTGCTGCTCGGTCAATGATTCAGACAGCTAGGGAGGGGGTACAAACATTCTGGTGGATGGGATTAGAATTCAAAATGACCTTTACAATGTGGAGAACTGGTCCGAAATCAACAAGATGAAATTCAAGAAACACAAGTACAAAGTAGTTCGCTTAGGAAGGAAAAATCAGATGCACAACTAGAAAATGGGGAATAATTGGCGTGGCAGCAGTACAGCAGAAAAGAATGTGGTGGTTACGGTGGATCATGAATTGAATGAGAGCCAACAATGTGATACTGTTGCAAAAAAGCTGAACAACATTGGACTAAAAGACTAACATTCTGGGATGTATTGTCACTTTGGCCACAATGTATCAGGATTTCAGCTGTCTTCAAGCTACTCATTCTTTCCCTGCACATCACTTTAACTTCTTCCTCACCTGGGCGGGTGCCTCTCAGGATGTCTCCATCTTCTGTGGGACCCTGGGCACACAGCTCTTCCCCTCGCTCTATGCTGGAGATCACCACTGGCTTGGGGGTCTGGATTCCTGCTTAGAGAAAAGCATCACCCCTAAGAACTTCTAGCAACAGATCTGCTGCACTTTGCACAGCTCCATATGCAGTGTTTGTGCCAATTAGGCGATGAACTAATCTATGTATTTGAATTTTTTCCCCATGGAAACATGAACTGCAGCTTATGGTCAGCACTCCCGGCGCCTGGCAGTGGCAGGATATTGAATTGCAAACAACCTGGCACCTGTGGGAAGGGGAGCTGGAGAGGACTGCGGTGTCTGAGGGGATTGGGGGGAACAGATGTGGCACATGGTGTATATTTTCCCTTGACCTAGGAGAGTTACTCTACTATGGCCCAGCATCCCCCTCCCTCCTGTGGATATATTTAAATAGGAATTAAACAGCTGTAGCTGGCCTGGGTCAGATGACTTGGGCTTGAGAGACTTGGGCTGTGGGACTGTAAAATTGCTGAGTGGCTATTGGGGGGGGAGGGTCCGAGTGCCCAGGCTCCAGCCCGAGCCTGAACATCTGCACTGCAATTTTTAGCTCTGCAGCCTGAGCCCCACGTCCTGACTCAACTGATCCAGGCCAGCCATGGCCCTGCCGTGGGTCGTTTATTCCAGCATAGATGAACCCACAGTCTGTCTCTCTCCTTAACTGTGGTGTTGGCTGGCCTTTCACCCTGTAGGCCTGCAGAACACACAGCCCTTTTCTGCTCATGTGCTCTGTCTGGAGAACTACAAGAGACAGAATTCTCTTGCCTTAAACTGTGGAGCAGTAGTGACTATGGGTGGAAGGATCTCCTCTTGAAGATATGAAGTGTAGTTGTAGATGTATCAGTCCCAGGATATTAGAGACCAGGTGAGTGAGGTAATATCTTTTACTGGACCAACTTCTGTTGGTGAGAGAGAGAAGCTTTCCTTTCCCAGACCTGAAGAAGAGCTCTGTGTGGCTCAAAAGCTTGTCTGTCTCACCAACAGAAGTTGGACCAATGAAAGATATTACCTCACCCACCTGGTCTCCCCATGAACTGGTTGCTCTGCTCAATTAAACATGTCTCTATCGATCCAGACCTATGCACCCCTCCTTCCAACCCCACAGACACCTCTCCACCCAACCACTCAGACCAATGCTCCATCTCAGTTACTGTGTCTCTGTGCAGCACCCAGTGCACTGGGGCCCTGATCTCACAGACACAGCTCCTCACCTAACGAGACCAGAGTCTGGTAATTTTCCCACATGACGTGTCTGTAAAGTTGCCTTTGCTCCTCGCCCAGCAGTGCCCACTCCGCTGGGGAGAAATACATGGCCACATCCTCAAACGTCACCGACATCTGAAAGGACAAACAACCCAACTCAGCATGGCAAAGTTTACACACCGATAGAGGAATAGCTGTTGCAGGTGATGTGGATGTACCAGTTGCGGGGACCACTTGGAGGGCCCAGGGAGGCTTGAAAGTTCGTACCATTATTATGGGTTCAGGTTTGTCACTGTGTGAAATAAGTAATGGACAGCGTTTTCCTGTGACTTTTTTTCTGTCTGTGACACCCCCCACAGTCGTGGCTCTGGCAGCTGGACCCGGCCCCCTGCTGTGGGTGTTGTATACTGGCACAAAGAGTTGTACCTCCTCCTGACCCTCTGTCATGACGGGACAGGCAGGCCAAACTTCAGTGAGTGTCGCAGCAACCTGGAGCTCCAGGTCACAGCCCCACTTACATTTAGCCTGCACACCTGACCCTCTGCCACCATGCTGGAGGGCTGGGCAGACCAAACCTGGGCAGCTCTGCAACCTCACATGCCATGAGGCAATGCCCAGAACAGGGCACCAGGCCCAGCTCCTCAAGACCCTGCTGGAGCCACTGCTGCGGGGTGAGAGTGGGGATCTGGACTCAGCCGTACAAAATACACGAGCTGCTGGAGCTGCACTGTGGGGTGAACACATGGTAGATTCACTCTCCAGTCGCTCCCTTCCTGGGCTTGCCCTCTGTACTGGGCAGGAATTAGGGTTACACTGTTGTAGCCTTGTCGGTCCCAGGATATTAGAGACACAAGGGGGTGGAGATAATATCTCTTACTGGACCATCTTCTGTTGGTGAAAGAGAGAAGTGCCTGAGCTACGCAGAGCAGGGACCTAGAGCC